CCTTACTGTCTGGTACCACAAGATATCCAATGCCTATCTTGAATTTACCGCTCTTCAATACTAGACTTGACTATTTCTCCAAAAAGGCCTGATTCCTTTCATTGAAAGACAACACTTCAATATGAAGATATCATACCAAGCGTGTGCATTACTTCTAGATTCTCCCAGGGGCAGAGTTAAGAAGAAATGCACATATGTATACTAACACATGCATACACACATCTATAGTTATTTCTTTATCTATCCATTTCCATATCTAATCATGAGTTCCTGCTAATATTTCCAATTTCAATCCAACACAACAGGGTTTAGCTAAGGTTTCTCCTTTTTTTAATTTTTAACTTCTTTTTCTGTCTATGAGAGACCTATCATTATCCATAATAAATTTATTTATTTACTCAAACCCAGGATACACAAAAAGCAGTTTCACAATTGCTAATCTATGATCGTTCATAAATAAATTCACTAAGTACAGTACTATATTAGTATACAGTTCTTTTGGTCTTTCCCCTATGTATACAGTCAGAACCCTGTATTCCAAAGTTGCTTATTAGTTCTTTCCTTCTCCACCTTCTTCAGTGTGGTTAAATTATTCATTTATAGCACAGTTAGATTCATTTGTTCCTGCTTCTGCTCCATTTTGTCCTCCATTACATTGATTGATTTTGAGTGTATACTTACTTTGTATGCAAAACTTCTCATGGTTCTAAGAGTCACAGCTTTCCAAAAAGGTGGACTCAGAGAAATGTCACTTCTTCATCTTACTGCCCTATTCCAATTCTACCTTTCCTTTTATTCTACTCACTCCATTCCCACTCATGCTCTGTAAGTACCCAATCTTGTTAGTTTTTAGTTTATCCTCCTTGTATTTCCTTCCCACAGATGAATAGATACGTGTATATTTTCTTATACACTTTTCCTAATATGATATTTCTCATAGTACAGATACATGGAAATCTATACATATAAATTTATGAAAAGCTTTTGTATCCTTTTTATAGCTGCTCACATCATTGTGTGGATATGCCATAGTTTATTCAACCACTTTCCTATGTATAGACATTTAGATTGTTTCCAGTATTTTGTAATTGTAAACAATGCTGCCATGAGTAAACCTGCAAACCTTGTGTATATTTATTTTTATATTGTTGCGGCTGTTTCTTCAGGATAGATGCCTGGAAATGCAATTGCTGGGTCAAAAGACAAGATCATATAGATTTACTAGATATTGCAAAATTCCTCTCCAGAAGGATGTACTAGAATGCATTCCCACCAACTCATCTTGCACCTCGTCTTCCAGAAAATGTATATTTTTCCGAGGTGCTTACATCTTCTGACTTCATTACAAAATTTCCTTTGGAAGCTTTTTACCTTCACATTTAGATCTTTGGAATAAAAAAGCTGAGCTCTTTGAGCTCAGGTATACAGTAGTAGGTAGCCTTTGTCTGGAGAAGTGTCTCAAACACATCTATGAACTCTGAACAGATATCATCGTAACCCAGGTTTGGTCCTAGTTTCTCCCAAGTCTGTTCCTGGGCTGCCGGGAGCTGCCCACCAGTCAGCTAAGCCTCTACCCAAGGACAACGGTCTGGGAGAGAGATGAGGGAACGCACGGCCGACCCTCAGAAGATGGCGGTCGGCCGCTCCTGATCCTACTCATGCTACTAATCTTAGCAGTATTGCTCTTGCTGTTCTTTTTCTGTACATGGGGATATCTTGGGGAAAATCTCTCCAAGCAGGGGAAAGAAGCTGATGCAACCTGGCCTTCTAGGGAGGGTTCAGGGGAAAAACAGCCTGAAGGGAAAAAACGTTCTGACCCCCTCCTGGAAAGGCGGTAAAGGAGCTTGGACAGCCCTCAAGGAGGAAGCCTTCTAATAATCAGCCTCTAAGGAGAACATTCCCTCCTCAGATCCTTCTATGAGGTAGATATTATCCTAGGCCTGTTAGAACAGGAAGTAAATGATGGCACCCACCCAGGAACAGAGGCATACAAAAACTACCCCTTCCTAAGGCAACTCACGATCCTGATAAAGTTGCAGAAAAATATCATAATATATTGACACAGGGGAAATGGGATTATGATGAGGATTGGGAACCCTACAATATAGTTAATGGCAAAAGAGAAACCCAAGCACTGTGCCTGTGTGGCTTGCGATCAGATGGAGCTGGGGGCCTGTGTGTATTTTGGTCCCCTTACACTTTGCAATACTTCTGCTTTCATTATTATAGGAATAAAGATAGAGGCTTAGGGCCATTCGACTCATGGGGAACTGAGTCTAGACGTTACACCCCGTTTTGTAATCAGTCTTAAACATCTAGACGCCTAGTAGACATACAGAAAAAGTCAATATCTATAATTAACAAAGGTTGCTTGCTTCTCACAGACACACTGTGCTAATATTGTAACAAGATATGCTTATGTCTCCATTTTGTTTGCCAAAATTATGTACTGAGACAATTCCATGAAATCATAAGCGCGTGACCTGGACCCTATATAAGTGCTTGAATGCTTTGAATAAATCAGGCTTGGAAACCTCACTTCCAGTCTCACTGTAACTTCTTTTTTCGCCGACGCCGTTCATCCCTCAGGAACCCTACCGGCTGGAGCTGGACTCCGGCACTGGGCAGGGTCTGGGTCAGACGGATGGCTTCAGATTGGCCAGTGATTTCCTCAGCTGACTGTGCAGGAAGCCCCTGAGGTGTCGCCCTCTCACTGGTTTTAAATCTATGCTTCAGATCTGCATTTACAATTTTTTCACTCAAGACTGATACCTCAAATCTGACTCTGACTTTATTGATTTAACTCATTTACGTTATTATATTTTGACCTTCCTGTATTTTTAGACTGATTCTTTATCTCCGTTATATCAGTTTGCCTATTGCTTTAAAATCTTTTGGATAATGAAATCTACCATCATGAACATTCTCTGATGAATCATGGTTTGTTTTTTTCTGTGACTTCTGCTCTATATAGTATATTTATTTACATAATTATAGACCCGACTTCTTTAACCAGCGCTAGATGACTTGATAATTTTGTAGAGTTAAAAGGAGTGAGAAGACTTCCTTTAATAATGTCTTTACTTTCTGTTTTTAATTTCAGCCTTAATCCTTATACCTTGAGGTAATCGTGATGTAATATTTGTTAGCTCTTTGAGATACAAATAAACACAGACTATAGACACCCCAGTTCTCAATCTTATCCTACAATAAAGAACCATTTGCTCACTTTAGAGATGATTACTTCTGATTGCTGTCACTGAGGACTGACATCTAATAGAATGCCACTCCTGCCCCCTATTGGGCTTCCCAACTCGCCAAAGGAAGATGGCAAAAAAAGCTAGTTTTTTTCTATGATCACAATACGTTTCTTCTTACAACAGTCCCACAGAATCTGCTGGCCAAGCTGAAATTTTATATCTGTTCAATTTTATAGCATGAAGTATACTACGATAAAATGAAAATCCATCAATGATTGATTCAGAAAATATGGGCTAGACTGCTGAATGATGAAGCTTCGTGCAAAGAGAGTGGTCCCAGTCTTCCAGACATTCCACTAAGGCCCCAGACATGTGGATGAGGCTGTGCAAGACCCTCCATTTCCTACTGATTTCCCCAATAGCATACAGACACATGAGTCAAGCCAGGCAAGTCCAGGAAAAAACCCACTCGCCTAACTCACAAAACAGAGAGTGAGAAATAAAATAATTGTTTCTTTAAGCCCGTGGATTTTTGGTGTTTATTATGTAGCAATAGATAATGGATTCAACCACTTTGGAAGACTCTTTGGCCTTATATACTAGAGTGTAATATAAGTACTTCATGACTTGACCATTTCACTCCTAAGTATATTACTATCAGAAATGTATGCACAAGTACACTAAAGAGAACACAGGATGATCGCATCAGCAATATTTATAATACGTCAACACTGAAAATAACCTAAATGTCCATCAACAGTAAATGGATAAGCAGATTGTGGTGCATTTGTACAAAGGAAAGCCTTACAGCAGTGAAAATGACCAAGTTACATTTGTACCCCATGACATGGACATTGACAAATGTCACTCAGGAAGTAAAGAAAGCTTTATAATATCAGAGTAAAAGAAGCACACACCATAAATATGCTTGCAATTCCTTTAGCAGACACGACTAAATAGTAAGGTTCACCTAAATATAACTTGGAGACCTCACCAGTTCTCCATATCAGAGAGTCCAAGATATTATCTTGGACTTGACAACGTCATATAGAGCGACTCTGGGCATATATCAGTTATTCAATAAATATTTGTTGAAAGAATGAAGAAGTGATTAAATAAAGAAAAAAGGATATCACTTCTGTGTTACCACTCATTATCCTCTCTGCTAAAAATGATCTGTGTAATGAATTTATTACGTGAACATTACGACATATTGTGTAAGGCTGTAGAATGAAGAGAGTGATGTTATGAGAAAGACCAAATGAATGATTTCACAGTCTTACTGGAATGACATGTCAATGCTTTTTTCTGAACCATATGGCATATAAATATCCTGTCTATGAAGGATGTAACTATGTAGGCTAGTAAAATACAGTGTGCGAAATGTATTTCAAATATTGGTCATTTGATTACTTTGTGATTCTGTGTCTAGCAGCTTCCAATCTGATAGATTATTTTTCTCGAAACAGGAGAAGAGGAGGAGCGCTTAAACTTAATAAATAATACAAGTATTGAGCCTTTTTTAAAAAAATAGCATCTATTTTTCTAAAGTCATTTGGTCCAATATTGTATCCTAAATTCCCTCTGTGATCTTCAACTAGAGATTTAGATCTAGATCTTGCTAGAGATTGTCAAGTAATAATAATGACTGAAGCCACACCCACCTGTGAATCACCAATCAGCATTAGCATGGGCCTCAATCCAATCTCAAATAAGGACTGACGTCAAGTGCTGAATGACATGGATTAGTTGATCCTCCTCCCTCCTGAACCTTCCACCACCCAGGCCATGCTCTGATACCTGGTATCAACTTCAAGGCATTCTCCAGATACTCATCATCAGTGATGGGGTGTCCATCTAAATGCAGTTCCAGTGTGAAATCCCAAACGAAGTCTGGAAAGAAACTCACACACTCAGCTGAGTCATCCACTTCACCAGAGATGGGAGAGGATCTGGTCCTGATTAGTTTTGTTAGTTCAGTCACATCTCTGGGATCTTAGCTAAGGAATGAGAAGTGCTCTACCCCACAGTTTGCAGATCTCACCCTGAAACAAGTTTCATAAACATTCCCATTTTTCTGTGTCTCCTTCTCCACCACCATAAGAACTGAATCACAGGAAAGAGGAGATTGTCTCAGTTGTCATGCCCATAAACTCAATGAAACATGGTGGTTTGGTTCCTGGAAGGATACTGCAGCTGCTCGAGGGCCTGGTGGTTGATGGTGCCCATGCTGTTGTAGACAAATACGCTGCTCAGAAGCACGGCCAGTGAAAAGGTCCACATGTCACTATTACAGTCACCCTAGGAAGGACATTACAGCAGGGACTTACGAGTCTGCTCTTCCTTCACTCATTCAGTTGTTCATTCACTATGTCAGCTGTACTACAACTGAACAGTAGGGTTGACAACATAAATTTTGAAGACAATGCTAAATTCAAACCTTGTTTTTGGTATTGACAGTGACCCTTCTCAGAGACTCAGTTTCTTTAGCTATTAGCAGAAGTAAGTATCACTGCAAATGTCTATCAAATGTTTAATACAGCACCTAGAACATAGAAGTTTTGCGATAATAAGTGGGCAATGATTCCTTTGCAAATTTTTCTTGATCATGGGCTATATTAGGGACACAAATGCTCTTCACTTAAATTCACCAACTATTCATTGTGCGTGTGCAAATGCCATACACTGCATTTGGTTGTGTGGATAAGGAGTTCCACACTACATTCCCTGCCCTTGAAGAGATCATTTTTCGGAGGGGCCGATATACATGGTAACATAATGCATCCAAGATTATAAATGCTGCCAGGAGTAGAACCAAATGTTACAATGTAAAAGACAAGTTGGGGATGATAATAAACCAGAAAAGTACTCTGTGAATTCAGAGCAAGATATTTAACAGTAAAACAGTAGCATCGTGTGGAAAATAGCTGGGCTTTAAAGATTTGAGAGAATGTGGAATTGTGAAGATAAAGGGACCATGCAGGTGGAAGGACAGATAGAAGCCAATCAGAATTGTCGGAAAGTGCAGTCATGTGAAGGTATTACATTGTTATTTTATCTGACTGAAGTAGTGGGTATGTGTGTGGGAATAGAAGAAGAGCCAGAAAATGAGAGTCAGGGTAACTCATGAGTAAATTGTTAATAGAATTAGATACCTCTCAAATATACTACAGGTTGTAAGAGCAACAAGCATTTTTACTGCTGTTAGTTTACAATTTGGTGTGTTTTGGTTCTTTGACAAATGCAATTAGATAAAATGAAGAAGGTTTATGCAAACTGTAATCTATTAGGTAGCAGTAGACCATCTTGAGTTTACACTGAGGTTATCATTGAGTACTTTAACCTGAATTTTTAAATTCAGAATTTGTGAATTCATGACCCAAGTCTTTTTTTGCACTAATGGAAGTCAAATATCCACTGCTTCTACTTTCACTTTAGACTCCAACTAATATATATAAGGAGACAAGATTGACTGCCACTAACACTATGAAGACAAATATCTAAAATTATCTCATTTACAATGCTTTTGGTGGGTCTAGCTCACGTTTTTATAGAAGTCAGTGAGGAATTCATCTTTGAAGCTCAGAGACTTGAAACAAAACCTTAATGAACGTTCCTGGTGTAGCTGAGCTTTTCTGGAGATTATTTAAATAGATTATTTTTCTGTGGATTACTTAAATAGATTATCTCATGGAAACCCTATTAATTGTCTGTACCTCCAACTCCATCAATCCAACACATCTTCACTAGTAGAGCCCACTGATCCCATGACTTATAGCTTCCTCCAGAATCTTTTCCTTAACCTGAAAGAGTAACTTAGGTTTTCAATTTTCATATGCATGGTACCCTGTTCTGGTAACACTCCATCTTTCTTATCTCCCCAAATGGACCTTTAGCTCATTCACTACGATATCTGTAGGACTTACCACAATGCCCCGCAATTCAGCTTTCCAATAAGTATTTAATTTGTATCTTTCACTCCAGTGTTAAAAACGTGAAAAAGATTTATCCCTAATGACCAAAGTATTGAGCTTATGAAAGAAGTAAATTCAAAGAACGCACTTTAGCCTCATTATTCAGAAATGGATTTGCAGTTTACAGGAATGTGTCATAAAAGTTGAACTGAGGTGGTAAATTAAAATGTAAGGGCAATATCAAGAGCAAAGATGACTCTCAGCCTTACCTTTTCCACATCATCCAGGCCTTCAGTGTCCAGAAGGACCAGAGTGTCGTTGGGCATGGAAGGGTGGGGTACACATCACATCCAAATGCCCTTGGTTTCAGATCTCATGTGGATCCCAGATGGAAACTTGCAAAGGAAGAGGAGAAAGCAACATATGGTCACAGCAGATAGTCCGGGCTGCCCATGGATTACATTGTTTCAACTTGTCCCAATGTGAGTGCAAGGCTGGGAGGAGTGTGGCTTCCATTTCAGCAAGGACAGAGGATCCAACGTTTACACGTATTAAGGACTTTCTCAAAAAGTTCTTTGTGTCCTCTATTCACCTCATACCATCAAGGTCTGAAATTATGTCACATTATAGAATTAACATAAACTCTATTAACCTTCTATTTTTATCTGACACTGACAAGCTCTGTTGTCCTCCAGTTTCTGATGGAGTTCAACCAGTGGGAGGCACCAGCAGGAGACCGGAAGTCAGGCATGTGTTCTCCTAGTTTCCACCCTGGTGAGCCACAGTATCCCAGTGCCTCTGCTCCTCTATCTTGAGTCACAGCTCCTTTCATTGTCTCCACCCAATGGCTCTGGTCTTTGCCACATTCTGGTGTCCACTCACTGCTTGTCTCCTCAGGCTATTGAGAGTTATAAAAACTACTGGGCCATTGCTGTTGGCACTCTCTGGGTACTTCCTCCTTTCTCATTGGTTCCCTTTGCTCTGCTTATGCTCTTAGAAACAGTCCCTCTATTAAACTCTCTTCAATTACCCCTTGACTAGGTCATTTGTGTCCTGCCAGAAGTTGGCCTGATACATCAGATTTTGTTGAAATTTTTTCTTCCCTTCATCCCTGTATTTTCCTCATTTGTTTTCACCTCTTTAAGCAAATGATGAGTTCTTTGTTCATTGCCTCTGGAGGGGGATACAAAAGAAGGGAGAGCAGAGAAAACCTGTGAAACTTGCTTGCCCTCCTTTCCAAAGCCTTAAACACACAGCGGGAGAAGATGTGAGGTATATGCCTGGGAACCTGTGGGTGATATATCTTGTCAAGAGTCCAAGATTTTGACTAACTGCCATATCCCAACGCTTCCTTCAACTGGGAATAGAAATGAAAAGGATGAATTACCAAGGGTAGCATGGTTCAGCATGACTCAGGCCATTTAATTTTCACATCCTGTGTGTTCTTCCCAGAGAGGATACAAAGCCTGAAATAGTCTGCGTTCTTCTACGTCTTCGTGGTATGCAATTGCTTGCTCATTAATATAAAGTGATCTGAACTCCCAGTTCCTATGGAGAAAAGACAAAGTGTAATTGGATGTCATCACTCTTAGCCATGAGAGGTAGAAACATGCAAAGTAAGTCATCAGCCAGGAGAGGAGTAGTGACCCGGCCCTGCTCATGGACCTTGACTACGTGTGAGTCTCTTTCTTTTTGTTCTTCCTGTGATACGAGTGAGGTAGCAGAGTCACAATTCAGGTGTTTTAAAGAATTTTGAGGGTAGGCACTTTCTCAGAAATGGGAAAGCACCTCAATATTATCTGATTTTATCTAGAGTAGAGTAAAAAAGGACATCGTCAAAACTCCTTTACTGCTATCTCTCTCTCATGGTTCACAAATCCTTAATCCTTAAAAAAAAGTTCTACTAATTAATTTAGGCCAGGTAAGGAAAAGTGTCCTCTCCTGATTGTTGGCCAAGAATTCCTCTAAAAGAAAGACAAAGACAAAAAGTTTTGTTGAAAGCCAATGTGAGATTGGGAACCAAAAGGAGAGAGAGAGAAAGAAAGGAAAGGGAAAGAGGGAGAGAGACAGAAAGAGAGAGACTGAGGAAGTGGGAAGTACTCCTGGGATCCTTAGAGTTTAGTGGACTGAGGTTCAATCGCTAATGGTATCGAACCGCTGAGCCACAGGGGAAGACATTAGAGAATAAACGATGTATGGTCTTCATAGACAGAAAGGCCTATCAGGACATAGGCGGATTGTCCTAAAAATCAATGAGAAGCAAAAGACGCAACTGGTAGGAAAAAAGACTTCATAAAAAAGGAAATACAAATAGCAAATAAACACGTGAAAAGCTCCAGCTAATTGGAGTGAGTCAAATAATATGCAACTATACAGTCACCAGATCAGAAAAAGCTAAAAAGTCTTTCACTGAAATTTTGTGAGGATGTGGAGAATCTCAATTATTGCTAATAATAATATAAACTTTACATGAAGTTTGAAAGGCTGCTCGATATTATCTAGAAAGGCTGAAGATGTATATACTCTGTGACCAAGCATTTCCACTTCTGGGTACATCACACAGGGGAAGTTTGTGTACATGTGCACCAGAATATAAACACAAGAATATTCATGACAGCATCATTCATAAAGGATAAAAACTAGAAATAATACCAGTGTTCATCAAGAATGAATGGATAAAATAATTGTGGTTTCCTCTCACAATAACACACTATAAAGTTGTGAAAATAAATAAATTACAGATGCATATGACAAACCAGATGAATCTTATAAACTTCTCATTGAGCAAAAGAAGCAAGATGCCAAAGGAATATAATTCCCTTTATATAAAGTTTAATCCATTTTTTGGAAGTGCATACACAGGTTGCAAAACCGTTTGCAAAAAAAGAATGCACCAAAACCCAAAACATTGCTGAGCTCTAGTGAGGGTGAGAAAGTGTGATTTTGGCTTTTGGGTACTGGTGAGTTTTTTTTCTTGACCTGGGAGGTAATTACACAGATGATCACTTTATATTTATTAACTTTATTGTATATATATGTTTTATGCACTCTTCTGTGTATATTATAGTTCACATATTAGAAAAGACTAACTAGAGAAAGAGAATGGGATATAATTTATCAAAGTTTTGCCATGAATTGAAGCAGAAAAATGGAGGGTAGCCCCACTGAGATATGTGACATACAGAGATTCTGCTGTCTGTTCTTCCTTCCATCCCTTTTTAAAAATGGCACATATTGAGCAATATTTGTGTGCTACTTGAAATAACCCTGTAGTTTAGGGCAAAAGTGGTATAGGAGAAAGGAAAGGAGTAATAGTTGGAGCTGAGCTCCTGAGCAGATGAGAGTGGATGGGGGCAAGACTAATAGGATGGATCTTTTGATAGCATTGGGGCACTCTTTATTATGGGACTAAACTGTGATATTTTGTAGACAGATGGGGTTGAAGTTATAAATTTGGTGGTGAGAATTAGAAGTTCTTTTCAGTGGGAGGGGTTAGGTTCTTCCTTAAGATGACCCTGAAGGAGGTGTGATCAGCTTGTGTTATCACTGCTCCCAAGCATATGGCCCCTGCCCCAGGACAACACTCGCCATGGCTCTGTCTTGCCAGGTGGTTCATTAGGTAGGATTTTCCTGTCCCATTGCAGGGCCCTCAATGGCCGCCACCACCACAGGCTAAGATATGTTGTCAAGAATCTTCAGTGCTTCTGAATTTATTGTCAGTTGATTTTTCTGGTTTTCCACAAGACAAATAGGGCCCTTCATGGTGGATCCAGATGTCATGGTAAGCTATAACCGAGAGAAACAACTCAGTAGAATATAAGATCTGAAAGTCATCTCTAATGGTTACAAAAGTCACATGCTTATCAGCTTTCTACTTGTGGAACTTATCTATCAATTTCCCATGTTTTGTGCATCTAAAAGATAAGCATTTAGTCTGGTGTGTCAAGACCAGTACAGATACCTAATGTATATTACCTTATTGATCTTTAAGTGAACTCTAAAACAACATTGAGCATTGCCTACATGCGATTCATGAAATGGATAGAATGAGAAAAACAAAGCACTGACGACGGAGCCGTGAGAACAGTAACATTATGGGGGTAAGTAAAGGCAGAATGGGACATGAAGGAGACAAGAAGTGTGCAGAGATTTCAAGAGGTCCAAAATGATTTGGTCTCTCATTAACTGCACAAACATTTGTTGAACATGTACCATGTGCTGGGCACCGTTCTAGGTGTTCACTAAGGAAAAACCACTGCAATATACACAACAGATATTTATTTGAGCAATTTGATTTGCAATTCAGGAGACAAAGATTTAGGCAGAAACCCAAAATGTGCTCTGGAGAAGACTAAGAAGGCAAGGGTTTATGAAGACAGAAAGAGATAACTCATATGGGTTGTTTTGCAACATGTATTACTGGTGCTGGCAATAACTGTTATTCCCTGGCTATCCATTATTGGTTGCTAAGGGCATCCCTAAGGCAAAAAGTTCTAAGCTATGAGAAAGCATTGTTTTTTTTTAGGAAAGTTCAAGAAAACAATAGTGAGGCAAGGTTCAAACAATTACACTGCATCTGGGTAGAGACCTGGTGTACTTGCATAAGCCTCACTTCCTTAATGGCCTGCCAGCTCCATTTTAGAAGCCGGACACGTGTTACTCAATTTTCTTGTCCCTGCCCACAGAGGTGCTCGATGTCAAGCAATGAACAAAATGGATACCAATTCCTGCCTCCTGGAGCTCTATACTAGTGGAAGGAGACAGGTAATAAAGAAAGCAAAGAAGCAAACACATATATGTCTATTAGATGATGGTAAATACTGGGTAGAAAATAAGCAGGGAATTGGGATAGGGAGTGTGAGGGCTGAATTTATATAGAGGACAATCAGGGCAGGTCTCTCTGAGAAAGAGAAGATGAGTGTGATCAGTGACCTTGCTGAGGACGGGTTTAGTGAACGGTGGGCGCAGGAGCAGGCTGGGGGAGAAGTGACTGTGAGAGAGAGAAGAAGAGAGAAGGGATGTAGCTGTGTCAAAGCACAAGGGGACAATCCTTACAGAACCGAGACAGCGTTATGGGGGCGGGAACTAATTTGTTTAACTGGAAAAGGATGTTTCTTATTCATAGGCTGTCAGGGAAGAGAAACAGTAGTCAGGGTGTTTTAGCCAGAGTCTCACCTGGGTGAGGCTGTATTTTCAATGTTTTCATCACAATGACTGGGTGTTTCATGAAATCAAGAGCAGGACAGCAGTCAAAGAGCTTTGTCCCTTTATTTTCTCAAGGCCAGTGCTAAGCAACAGTCACATGTTCCCATATTTACAAGCTGTGTGACCACTGGAAAGATTGTTAATTTTTCTGTGCCTCAGTTTTTTCTTCGGTAAAATGGCAACACTAAAAATAATCTATTGGTCATTAGGGTCTTTAGGAGGATTAAAGATCTCATGACATTTATAACGTTCTTAAAATCACTGTGGTACATAGTAAATCCTATATAAGTATTGCTTAAAAGTTGAGCGTCTAAGAAGGCAGGGAGGGTAATTTCTGAATGAAGGTGAAGGATTGGCGTTGGACTGAAACAGTAACAGTTCTCTCCCAGGTTGCAAGCAAGTGGGGCACACATCCCAGGAGGAGGATGAGCAGGTGGGAGAGGACCAGCAGTCACAGCTGAGCAGGAGGACACTGATGGAGGATGAGTCAGGCTGGAGGAACCCAGAGCTGCCCTGGGATGTCAGAGCACAGATTCTGGACTCAGGCTGCCAGGGTCCAAACCAGAGAGTTTAAGTCAATTATTTTCTGTGAGACCTTGAAAAAGGAGCTATCTCTGTAAGCCTCCATTTTCTTATCAGTGTTATAGATAAAACAGTAATTCCTGCCTGGTTCATTACCGTACAGGCTAGTAATAGGCGGAAGACCATCGACAGTTTGTAAGGGTTACTGTTCACCAGAGTCACCTGGAGTGATGATTAAAAATAAACTGACGCCTGTATTTTCTGCAAGTACCAGAAGTTATGCTGATCAGTTCTTGTATGGACCACACATTAAAAACAGTACATGATAAAGAAACAGGATTAGACCTTATGGTTATTATTTATAGCTGATTAGCGAGAGTGAGATGGAATTATTCCATATAATACAGCGTTGTAGTATTTGGAATATTAAACGTTGTTAGTACAAAAGTAATCTAGAGTCGACCCTTTAGAATTTAAATTTTCTGTATGTTAGTAACCATCTTTTTTTCTGTTTCTCTAATGCCTGGCAGAGAGCAGTCTGGAAATGTCTGAGTAATGGTGAGTGAGGGAGGTGGAGGAAGCGACCCCACTCAGTGCCTCTGCGGTCCTAACTGTTCCATCAGACCAAGAAGGGATCTCAGCCCCTTCTCCGCAGATGAGGCAGGGTGCACTCCTCCTTCTCCCACGCAGGGCCCTTTGCTGCAGGCCTGGGTGGATGCTGAAGGGAGGAGAGGCTGTCGCCTCGCTGCCTCCTCTGGTCCAAAAGGAGAAGATGAGGCAAAGCGCCCCACAGACCACACACCCTCTGGCACCGCGCCGGCCTCCCGCGGCCTCCCCCCTGCCGGGGTGGAGTGTGCGCTTGGGAATTTGTGGTTGGTAGTTTGTTAACGCAAATGTGCCTGGAAGACCAAGTTTAGGAGCGAACTTACGTGGCGCGGTGCTGCAGTCCGGGAACAAGTCCTCAGGAGCCCTCGCTCCCCCCTCGCGCGCTCCTCCTGCGTCTGGCTCCTGTGGGTACCAACTCTTCTCTTGAGAAGCTGAAAATCGAGCCGGATAATACAGCCAACCAGATATGGGGTGGGGTCGAGGAGAACCGAAATCGAAAGGACATGCGCTTTTTTTGGCAGGTTAACCTCTGGGTTTTCACTGTTCTCCCCCGAGGCAGGACACCTGATGAGGCGGGAGGAAAGTTCGCGCTTCCTCCACGCCTGGCTTTGGAAACGCGGGCGCCTCCGTCCTTCGCAGTTGGCTTAGGTTTCCTGACCCCACAATAAATGCAGGGCAGCGGGAGTGAATGTGGGCGAAGCAACGGCTGTGAGAGAGTTCTGCGCCCTGTCTCTCAGGGGTACTGTTGTGAAGCTAGGGATTTGATTATTAGTTTTTATTTTCTTTTGACAAATTTTGTACTTAATTTCTTTTCTCTAGTTCAACAGTGATTTTTTCATTAGCAATAAAAATCCCAGAGTGTGTGTGTGCGTGCGTGCGTGTGTATAGAATCCCTCATTTTGTAGCCCAGACATATTCAGTATTATTTTGTTGCATGTGCTTCCAGATTTTTCTTTGCTTGTACCAGGGTGGATCAAGAGTTGGTGGGGGAGAGGGAGGACTGAAAATAATTTGAAGATCCACTTCAAATAAAATAATAAAAAAATGCGAAAATGAATATTCAAAATGAGCAAAAACATATAACCATTACTTTTCAAAAGCCAACAAATGCTACCAGCGTTTTTTCTCATCAATTTCTTTTCTTTCTGTTAAGATACTTCTATGATATTCGAATTTCAGTATAAGCAAGAATTCTGGCGTATATATTTGAGTTATATGCCAGGGAAATTTTAATTCACTTTAAAACATTGCATTCCACTATAGTGAACTACAGAACAAGAATTGTGTCAATTAATTAACTGAGTGTCAATTCTATTTTGCATAATATGTTTCTGTGAAATGGGCTCTGATAATAACAGTGAGAAAAATAGAAAACAGATGTTAGAGACAACTTTTATAGCACTGTCAAAAATAGATTTCTAATATATAACATAAAACAGAAGACATATAGAATAAAGTGTTGGAAAATATTTCTTTTTGAAAAATTTTAACCCTTTTTTCTTTGATATGATGTATTTCCCATCACATTTTCATCAGAAAGCTTTATTTTTATATGAGTTTATATTTTAAATGTTAAAATGTACTCTGCATGAAATTAGATGATGAGTCTTTTAAATTGTCTTCTTTTTGTATACAAAATTGGCCAATGCTGTTTTTTTCCCAATTATTTTACTGAGGTAATAATGGTGTATAACATTGTGTAATTTCAGGTGTGCATTATTATTTATCAGTTTCTGTATAGACTGCATCGTGCTCACCACCAATATTGTAATTTTTATCCATCACCCTATATATATGTCCCTTTACCCCTTTTGCCCACTCTCCAACCTCCTTCCACTCTGGTAGCCCCTAAGCTGTTCTCTTTATCCATGTGTTTATCTTCCACATATGAGTGAAATCATGTGGTGTTTCTCTTTCTCTGTCTGGCCTATTTTGCTTAACATAATACCCTCATAGCCCATCCATATTATTGCAAACGGGATGATTTTGTCTCTTCTTATGGCTGAGTAGTATTCCATTGCGTATATTTATACCACATATTCTTTATCCATTCATCCATTGATGGGTACTGGGGTTGCTTCCACGTCTTAGCTATTGTGAATAATGCTACAGTGAACATAGGGGCGCGTGAGTCTCTGAATTGTTGCTTTCACGTGCTTTGGATAAATACCCAGTAGTGAGATTGCTGGATGCTATGGTATTTCTATTTTTAATTTTTTTTTTTGTTTTTTAGATTTTTTTTTTTTATTTTTTCCTTTTCCTCCCCAAAGCCCCCCAGTACATAGTTGCGTATTCTTCGCTGTGGGTTCTTCTAGTTGTGGCATGTGGGACGCTGCCTCAACGTGGTCTGATGAGCAGTGCCATGTCCGCGCCCAGGATTCGAACTAACGAAACACTGGGCCGTCTGCAGCAGAGCGAGGGAACTTAACCACTTGGCCACGGGGCCAGCCCCTCTATTTTTAATTTTTTGAGAAATCTCCATAATGTTTTCCATAGTGCCTGTACCAATTTGCATTCCCATTAGTAGTGTATGAGAGTTCCCTTTTCTCCACATCCTCTCCAACATTTGTTATTTTTTGTCTTGGTTATTATAGCCATCTAACAGATGTAAGGTGATAGCGCATTGCAGTTTTGATTTACATTTCCCTAATGATTAGTGATGTTGAACATCTTTTCATGTGCCTATTGGCCATCTGTATATCTTCTTTGGAGAAATGTCTCTCCATATCTTCTGCCCACTTTTGGATTGAGTTGTTTGTTTTTTTGTTGTTGAGTTGTATTAGATCTTTATATGTTTTGGAAATTCATCCCTTGTCAGATATATGATGTGCAAATATTTTCTCCCAGTTGGTGGGTTGTCTTTTCATTTTGTTGATCGTTTCCTTTGCCTTGCAGAAGATTTTTAGGCTGATGAAGTAACATTTGTTTATTTTGTTTGTTTGTTTCCTTTGCCTGAGGAGACATGGTATTCAAAAAAATGTGCTAAGACTAATGTCAAAGAGTGTACTGCCTATATTTCATTCTAGGAGTTTTATAGTTTCAGGTCTTACATTCAAGTCTTTAATCCACTTTGAGTTAATTTTTGTGTATGGTATAAGATGATGGTCTAATTTCTTTTTTTTCTATATGACTGTCCAGTTTTCTCAACACCAATAATTGAAGAGACATTCCTTTCTCCATTGTATGTTCTTGGCTCCTTTGTCAAAGATTAGCTGTCCATAGATGTGTGGTTTAATTTCTGGTCTTTCAATTATTTTCCATTGATCTGTGTGTCTGTTTTTGTGCTAGTACCACTCTGTTTTGATCACTATGGCTTTGTAGTTAAATTTTGAAGTCGGGCGTTGTGATACCTCCAGCTTTGTTCTTTTTTCTCAGGATTGCTTTAGCTACTCAGGGTCTTTTGTTGTTCCATATAAATTTTAGGATTCTTTGTTCTGTTTCCGTGAAGAATGTCATTGGGATTCTGACTGAGATTGCACTGAATCTGTAGATTGCTTTTGGTAATATGGACATTTTAGCTATGTTTGTTCTTCCAATCCATGTGCACGGAATATCATTTATTTCTTTATGTCATCTTCGATTTCTTTCAGTAATGTCATATAGTTTTCTGTATATAGGTCTTTCACCTCCTTGGTTAAATTTATTCCTAGATATTTTATTCTTTTTGTTGTGATTATAATTGGAATTGTGTTCTTGAGTTCTCTTTCTGTAAGTTCTTTATTAGAGTATAAAAATGCAACTGATTTTTTTTTTAAAGATTGGCACCTGAGCTAACAACTGTTGCCAATCTATTTTTTTTCCTTTCTGTTTTTTCTCCCCAAACCCCCCCAGTACATAGTTGTATATTTTAGTTGTGGATCCTTCCAGTTGTGGCACGTGGGACGCCACCTCAACATGACCTGATGAGTGGTGCCATGTCCGTGCCCAGGATTCGAACCAGCAAAACCCTGGGCCGCCGCAGCAGAGCGCATGAACTTAACCACTCGGCCATGGGGCTGGCCCCCCTCAACTGATTTTTGTAAGTTGATTTTGTACTTGCAACTTTGCTGTAGTTGTTGACTATTTCTAATAGTTTTCTGTAGTTTCAGGTCTTACCTTTAGGTCTTTGATCCATTTTGAGTTTATTTTTGTGAATGATGAAAAAGAATGGTCAATTTTCATTCTTTTATATATGGCTTTCTAGTTTTCCCAGCACCATTTGTTGAAAAGACTTTCTTTTCTCCATTGTGTGCCCTCAGCTCCTTTGTTGAAGATCAGCTGTCCATAGATGTGTGGTTTTATTTCTGGGCTTTCAATTCTGTTCCATTGATCTGTGCCCCTGTTTTTGTACCAGTACCATGCTGTAGCTTTGTAGCGTGTTTTGAAGTCAGGGATTGTGATGCCTCCAGCATTGTTCTTTTTTCTCAGAATTGCTTTAGCAATTCAGGATCTTTTATTGCCCCACATGAATTTTAGGATTCTTTGTTCTAATTCTGTGAAGAATGTCATTGGGATTCTGATTGGGATTGCATTGAATCTGTAGATTGCTTTAGGTAGTATGGACATTTTAACTATGTTTATTCTTCCAATCCATGTGCATGGAATGTCTTTACATCTCTTTATGTTATCATAAATTTCTTTCAGGAAAGTTTTGTAGTTTTCTTGTATAGGTCTTTCACTTCCTTAAATTCACCCCAAGGTATTTTATTCTTTTTGTTGTGATTGTGAATGGTAATGTGTTCTTGAGTTCTTTTTCTGTTAGTTCATTATCAGAGTATAGAAGTGCTACTAATTTATGTAAGTTGATTTTATACCCTGAAACTTTGCTGTACTTGTTGATTATTTCTAAAAGTTTTCCAATGGATTCTTTGAGGGTTTCTATCTATAAGATCTTGTTATCTGCAAACAGCGAGAATCTCACTTCTTCACTCCCTATTTGGATTCCTTTTATTCCTTTCTCTTGTCTAATTGGTCTGGCCAAAACCTCCAGTACTATGTTGAATAAGAGTGGTGATAGAGGGCATCCTTGTCTCGTTCCTGTTCTCAGGGGGATGGCGTTCATTTTTTGCCCATCGAATATGATGTTGGCTGTGGGTTTGTCATATATGGCTTTTATTATGTTGAGGTAATTTCCTTCTATCCCCATTTTGTTCAGAGTTTTTTTTAAGATTTTATTTTTTCCTTTTTCTCCCCAAATCCCCCCGGTACATAGTTGTATATTCTTCGTTGTGGGTCCTTCTAGTTGTGGCATGTGGGACGCTGCCTCAGTGTGGTTTGATGAGCAGTGCCATGTCCGCGCCCAGGTTTCGAACCAATGAAACACTGGGCTTCCTGCAGCGGAATGTGCGAACTTAACCACTCGGCCATGGGGCCAGCCCCCAGAGTTTTTATCATGAATGGCTGTTGGATCTTGTCAAATGCTTTCTCTGCATCTATTGAAATGATCATGTGTTTTTTATTCCTCAATTTGTTGATGTGGGTATCATGTTGATTGATTTGTGGATGTTGAACCATCCCTGTGTCCCTGGTATGTATCCCACTTGATCATGATGTATGATCCTTTTGATGTATTGCTGTATTTGAGTTGCCAAAATTTCGTTGAGAATTTTTGCATCTCTGTTCATCAGCGATATTCGCCTGTAGTTCTCATTTTTTGTGATGTCCTTGTCAC